GGAGGTTCAGAGCGCTCCCACCGTCAATGAGCACTTTTCTAAAAAGCACCTTTTGAACGGTTGTGTCAAGGACGAGGGGGAAACACCCTGTGTAAGGGATATTCGCCCACTGGTCATCCCTGCTAAAGGTGATGGGGACCTCGAACCAGGGGCGATAGTTGGGGTTGGCGGCGGCGTCTTCTACGTTGACGGCGAGCTTCCGTTCTCTTCTGCTCTCGGTGGAGGCGAGGCCCCCAAAGATGGTGGCGACCACCTTGCCATGATCCTGGAAGGCATTATTATTGCCCCCAGGTGGTCGGCGGCCTCCGGCGCCGTCGTTATTGTCGTCGTCCAGCTTTTTGGCCCGGAATTCCTTAGCCAAGCCAAGGCAATCCTTCATCTTATGCTTGGCGTTCTTGTGGAGAGGGCATGGGCTGTTGAGGATCTTCTTGTACTGCTCATCGTAGTTGCGCTTGGCTCGAGGCTCGTCAACAGCGGCGATGATATGGTCTGGTCGGCGGTGGTGATATTGACCAGACTTAGAGACTTCCTGCCGATCACGGCCACTGTCCCGATGGTGACTGTGGTCGTCGTAGCGGCGGTCATTGTGGCGTTGGTCATCGGGGCAATCATCGTTGCGGCGAGTTGGGCGATGAATGCCCACATCCTCATTGAAGCGCACTTCGGCTTCTTTGGTGTTGGCATACTAGTTGACAGTCGTAATCATCTCGCCAATCCCGTGGGCGCCTTGTGGTTGAACTTGGAGCGGAGATCGTGGTGATGGAGTCCTCGAACGAAGGCGGTGATGACCTCAACTTCTATGATGTTAGGAATAGAATTCCTCATCTCAGAAAAGCGTCTGATGTAGCGACGGAGGAGCTCGAATGGCTTCTGGTAGATGCGGTTCAGATCATGCATGGTGCCCGGCCAAGTACACGTAGCCATGTAGTTGTCGGTGAAGACCTTTTCAGCTCTTCCCAAGATCCGATGGAGTCCGGGGCAAGGCTTGTGAACCAGTTCATGGCGGTTGGCGTTAGCATGATGGGAAGATAGTTCGCCATGACACTGGTGTCTCCTATGACAGTGCGCATAGTAGTGGCGTAAGCTTGTAGCCACTGTGTGGGGTTCATCCTTCCCTCGTATGGCTCGACCCCAGTGATTTTAAAACCATAGGGCCACTGGAGTGTTCTGAGTGCCCACGTGAATGCTGGGGGCCCTTTGGGGTTGTCGGCGCCATGATCTGCAGCGTTCTCGATGTTGAGTGACTCGAGAGCTGAGTCTAGGTTATCGTACTCTTGCTCGTACTCTTGGCGGTGGCATACTTCTTCTTCATGACGACCGAAGCGGCGCTCATCGATACGTCATCGTGCATCTCAAAGATTATTGAGGTGCACTCAGACGTCCTGGTCGACCTCCTGGTCGTGTTGGCGAAGGTGCTCGACGTGGTTGTCCCTAGCTCCCCCTAGAGGGGTTGCCTATCGTCGCGGTGCTGGTCGGTGAAGCGACTCGGGCGGCGATCGGATCTTGGCGTGGCTGATCGGTGAATCGAGTTTGTGGAGTATGAAGGTCTCTGATCCTAGCGGATCTCGTTGACCTGACAGTGTGCCGCTTTAGGCATGGCGGCGACCTTAGTGACCTCTGGTGTCTGTGGGAGCCGGGTGAGCTCGTTGGTGGCCACTGCTAGGTTGGCGCTTGGAGTCTTGTAGATGTCATGGCCGTCAACACGGACAAACTCATTGTCGAGGTTGCGTTGGAGTGGCATTCCTTGCGAGTCAGGCTGACCCTCGACCACCGCAAGGGCAGCCTCATTTGCTCGGCGCTGCGGACGGTTGATGTTCCTATTGACGCGGGCAGCGCTATCCTCCTTGGTCTCCCCTTCCCGTAGGGGGCTATCGACGCTGGCGTTGAAGATTGCGCCCCCACAGAAAGGAGGGATAGGAAGTTGCTCGGTGGTGGTTTCGACGAGAGTCTCCATAGAGCCCTGGGACTTGGAGTCCGGATTCTCCTCCAGGATGGTCTGGAGGGATGCTCCGGGGCATCGGCCGACGTGTAGCATGTTGATAGCCGGCGGGAGCTGGTCGGCGATCTAGTCAGCGAGAGAATGGACATCTCCAACCTGGTCGGTGAATTTGCCCCTTAGGGCATCTTGGTAGGTGGTGACAACATTGGTGAGCCCGAAGGGTAGGGCCGTAAGCCCTGGAGTTTTCTGAGCAGCCTCTGACAGATCTGGATCGGAGGGTGGTCGGCGCTGAACGAGAGTGTCTAGAGTCGATTCGGCGATGGAGAGGCAATCGGCGAGCTTCTGACCAACCTGATCAATGGATGCTATCATATTGTTGTTGTTGATTTGCCTCCTCTGGTAGCGAGGAAGCGAGCGGCGAGTTGTCGATGAAGGCGACCTCAGAGGCGGTTTCGAGATCAGATCTGCAGTCGCAGGTGTTGGGGTGATCATCGCAGAATCGATCTACACCGGCTCGATGAGCTCTTCGACTCCATCAGTATTGATGATCCACGAGATCGATCCAACCGTGAAGATCTGGCCGGGTTGCGGGAGGGACGAAGAGCTTGCAGAACGTACCATCTCATTCGATATAGAAACAGCACGCACCCCCCTACCTGGCACGCCAACTATCGATAGAATATCAGCGGTAGTCCTCCGAGGGGTATCCTAGGAAGGTAGATTGATCGGCAGAGAGGCGTGCAATCAAGAACACAAAGGCAACAGAGACACATGAGTTAGACAGGTTTAGGCCATCAGTATGACGTAATACCCTACTCTTGTGTTCTATTGGAATATATTGGCTATCGTATGATATTGCGTGAGTTTGGAGGGGGTCCCTGCCGCCTTATATAGTCTAGGGGGCAGGGTTACAAGTCGGTTAGATCTGGGAGATAACTGGAAAGTAATAACAGATTACAGGAACCATGGGATCATACGTATCCTAACAGATCTCGTAGTATCTTCAGGATATCTTCCTGGTGTCTTGCAGGAGACGTCGAGCAGTGTCATGCCCCACAAGGCTTCATCTTGTGGGCTGGGCCGCCCCTGGGGGCGCAGCCCATGTGGTCTGCCATGGGTATCTGGGGTCGTACCCCCCACACTTTCCAATAAAAGGCGGTGTGAAATGGTGTTTTTATGGTGGGTACAATGGTGATCCTGAGCATCTGCACCCACCATGTGTTTATACTCTTCACTATGGTGTTGTTCTTTGTACTTTGTTTTATAGGTTGCAGTGACATGTTTCCTTCCCTAATCATCATACTTGATAACTACTATCCTAACTTTTCATCGTATCATACATCATATTTGATAACGGCTCTCCTTTAACTTATTGTGGCATCTAGCTTGTTTGTTAACAGCTTCTTTCTAAATTCTCTTTTTAGTGTGCTATCTAAAATTGCGCAACATCATGCCATATTAGTTTGGTTGTGTGTGAGCCTGATATGTTGAAGAAATATTATTTAGTGGAGTCCATTTGTTGATTGATAAGCCATGATCAACAATAAAGGAAACATGTGGTCATAACTTATCATGTCATCGTAGAATAGTATAGAACTATTCTGATACTTTCTAATGTTTTCAAATGTAAAATAATAAAGTCTTCTAACTATTTTAATTTCCCTTGAGAAGTTTTATAAAAGGAAGAAGGTTGGGTGTACATCAGATGCTTGCATACAGTTTCATTGACACCCATCTCACGTGTCTACACTCTTCACTGCACCATCCCACTTATTTTTTCTCTTGAGCCATCATGATGTGTCCACACCCCCATACATCATTTTGACAAAATGTCTCTATGTTAACTTTTGTCATGACATTCATGTTGTTTATAACATTCTCCATTAACTTTTCATAGTGGCATCCATCTAATCTGGTAACTCCATTAACTTTAAGTCATGACATGTATCTTGTTTGATAACCACTCTATGTTAACATTGTACACACTCAAAGCTCCCCAATAACCCTACTTACAACTTTTACCATAAAGAAATACTTGCGGTTTTACATGAGTACCATGACCCAATCTATGGCAACCAATCATTTGGAATGTGACTAGTATTTCTATGTGCCAGCCCAATATATATTGAGATAATATGATTCATGGATACCATATAGTGATGGATACAATAAATATCCACCATGTAAGTTTTTGCAAAGTATGGTGGCAAGCAAGCAAGCTACTGGAAATCGATTGTTGTAACCAATAGTATAGATTGGCAATGGCTATTACTTCATTCCCATGTGTCCCAAAGTTCTTGAAAAGGAACGACAATGTCTTCTAATTATTTGTAATTCTAGTATTTGAGAAACTTTGCTAATGAAACAATGTGTGAAGTGGTATGGGCATGGTGGGTACAATAGTGGTCCCCTATACCCAGACCCAGGCACATCACACTTGTTCACACTCTTCACTTTGGCACTACCATTTGTTCTTGCTCCTATAGGATGTAGTGACGTGTTTGTTCTCACTGTCATCATGCTTTATAACTGCTCTATATTCCTCACGGCACGCATAATATTTGATAACAGCTCTCCGTTAACTTTCTATTGTGCCATCCAGCTTGTTTGATAACTGATCCCTACCCACTTTCCCTTAACTCTGCCATTTGAAATTTGTGCAACATCAGGCCGTATTAGTCACGTTGTGTGCAAGCCTAAAATGTTGAAGGAATATGATTTATGGAGCCTATTTGTTGATTTCTACATAATCATCAATGTGGAAATAAATTAGTGGTCATAACTCCTCATTTCTACAACTATGTGGATCATAACACCTACTAACCTACTTGACCTGGACCCTTAGAGACTTGACAGAGTTGATCCCCACCACAACCCTTGTCTCCTTCTATAAATACCACATCTCTCCTCAGTCATAGAGCACCAACAACAACAACCCCACTTAGTGTTGAGTGTTCTATCACCTAAGAGTCCATCCCTATCCCACCACCAAGTTGCATGCCCTTGTGCAAACTAAGAACGTATGTTGTTTGAGGTTGAGGAGTCCTATTGTCTAGCGCCCATGGAGAACAGTAGTAGCAATGGTAGTTTGTTCATGTCCGCAGTAGGCATAGGCGTAGGATTGGGTGTCGGCCTTGGCCTGGCGTCGACACAACTCATGGCATCTTCGCCAAGAGGGGACGTGACCTTGGGTGGCGGCGCAATAGCTGCAGATATCGAATCAGAGCTTCGACGCCTCCTTGTCGATGGGCAAGAGACCAAAATTTCCTTTTCTGACTTCCCATATTATCTCAGGTGCATGTGTGGTTTTTTACATCCTTTTTACCTTCCTTGTTTCGATTGGGAAAATAAATAGCGATCTGATTAGTCTATAGTTATGTTGGATTGATTGGTACGATTAGGGTGGCTACTTTAGGGATCGTATCAATTTGGGTCAAAAGAAATTGGATTCATGTTTGATGAACCATAAATGATTAGGATTTTGTTCCCCCTGTTTCTTAGCGAGGAAATGAGGCTGGCGCTCATGAGCGCAGCATTCCCTTACCTGAGTCAAACTATTCTGCCAAAGCACATCAAAGTATTCAAGGACTCAAGCCGCACCATACTACTTTGTGGTCAATCAGGTTTGCTTACGCATACATGCATGCTCTTTTGGGTTGGATCATGTTTTGACAACACGATGTCTTACTACAGAGACGTGCCTGCAGTCACTTGCCAAGGCCATTGCCAACCAATTCAATGCACGTCTGTTAGCACTGGATATCTTTGAGTTCTTGCATCAGGTTAGCTTGATACTATTTGGATGGTAGTTTCGCTTTCCCCTTTCCCTAATATTACCATAAACCTCTTCTTGTCGTTGAACAGATCCAGCACAAATATGGTGGCTCAAGCAATGCACAAGTTGAAGTTGGTTCTTGTTTCACCTTATTATTGATTTACATAGAGATAATACCTTTAGTTTGTATGGTACATTTTATTGATGATTTTGAGTATAGTGTTTTAGTTGATTGGGTGGTCCTACATTCTCTTTTCATATAATTGATTGATGGGTGTCAATAACACCACCCTTTGTAGTTAGATTGTTGGACATTTTCCCCATTACAAAACATAATCAGAAGTAAGTTGGCTTCATGCTTCACATGAGCCATGGGGTCCTTGGAAAAGGACAATAATAGTTTGTCCACATCTAACACTTGGAGACACTTGTGTATATATATTTTTTAATTCTGGCAATGCGCTAAACTTTTGATGATTTAACTAACTGACTCTTGTCCATTCTTGATCTAGGTTCCTATAAGATCCAAAACTATGTCAGCTTTGGAAAAAGTGTATGATTTTGTTGGATCTTTAAGCATATTTTGCAAGAAGGATGAGTCAATAGGTATCACATTATTATTCTTTTTGTCTGATACTAGTTAATTTCTGGCTTCTTGTAGACCAATATTTATGATGTGATGTATGCAACCTTTGTTTTTCACACAACTTTTCCTATTAACTTATTTGCTTGTTACATGCATCTTGTAAGTCATAACCAAGCATGGTATTATGATTGTGTTGTCATGAAATATTGTTGCAGGATCAGTGGATCATGTAAAGGGTAATCATGATTTAAACACAAGGTAACACATCTGTGGTGCAATGAAACTTGACCTTTGATAATAGTTTGTCCCTCTTTACCATTTTTTGGTCTTTGTCAACAGACGTGTTCATTGTAAGAACATGAAGTTAGTTGGGGAATACATGTCCTTATTATCTAATGAAAAGAACAAAGACTCAGAATCCAGTGAAGACGATGATGACGATGACGATGATGATGATGATGGTAGTGGTGGTGAGTCAAAGTTCTTATTTACTAGCTCATCTATGCCAAAACTATTTTCATGCATGAGACAAACTAATAAAAGCATGATTGCTAGCTTCCATCAATTTCTAAGAAACTATGACTTGGTAAACTAAAATGGTCTATTATATCAATTCGTCCAACTTAAATTTTTAAGCTTAAAGCTTTTCTACATTATCCATAAATTGTGTTTCATATTTTGGATGTAGTATACTATTGGTAGCAAGGAACAATTTGCATGCATGAGTTATTTATGGTTCCTTTTTCTAATGAAGGTTTTAGTGCTCCAGTGTGGACCTTGGATGTGAAAATTCTCTTACAGTGCATGTACAAGGTAAATCAAGATCCACATGCATAATTGATGATGGAATGTAGTACTTGTATTATGAATTGATATATTAAACCAATTTTGTAGATCATTGTTTCGGCTTCTGCATGTAGCCCGGTTATTCTTTATATCAGGGATGTTGATATTATCCTTCGTAGTTCACCGAGAGCATTTTGTATGTTCCAGAAGATGTTGAACAAACAATTTGGAAGAGTTTTGATAATCGGTTCGCACTTCCTTGATGATAATCAAGATACTGATGGCATTAATAAGGATCTGACTAATCTATTCCCAAACATCCTGGAGACTAGGCCTCCCAATGAAGAGGCTCATCTTCAGAGATGGACAAGACAAATGCGAAATGATATGATAAAAGCTCAGGATGAAATCCTTAAACATCAAATTGTAGGGGGGTTTGTCATCATACAATTTGGAGTGTGATGATTTGAGTTCTATCTCCCTAGATGATTGTGTAGAAATTGCAAGTTACCTAGAGGATATTTTAGCCCCAGCAGTCTCATACCATTTAATGAATAACCAGGACCCTAAGTACAGAAACGGGAGGCTTATTCTATCTTCAACGAGGTTAGTTAATTGATCTTGAATTCATGATGAACCATTTGTTAGTTCTTTTAACATACTTTTGCTAACAACATCATTCTTGAGCAGTTTATGTTATGGATTAAGAATTTTTCAAGAAAGTAACCTTGAGAAAGTTTCAGTTGAAACAAAAGATGACTCAAAGGTATCCCATATTTTTCATTAAGCAACAATTTTTTGCTTTTCTCATTTCCTGATGTAAAGGAAACAATATAATATTATATTCATAGAAATAGTGTAAGATGATGTATTTACCATTAACATATTTGCCTATTGCCTTATAGGTCACTAAATACAACGAATATGAAAAGCGGATAAGAGAATTAGTGATCCATGCTAGTGAAACAAGAGTGACATTTGATGACATTGGAGCACTAGCTGATATCAAAGAATCAATTCAGGAGCTTGTCATGCTTCCACTTCAACGGCCCAATCTCTTCAATGGTGGTCTATTAAAACCATGCAGGGGAATTCTATTGTTTGGACCACCTGGAACGGGTAAAACTATGCTTGCTAAAGCTATAGCCAATGAAGCTGGTGCTAGCTTCATGAACATCTCATTGTCTACCATCATGTCAAAATGGTGTGGAGAGGCCGAGAAGAGCATCCAAGCGTTGTTCAGTTTAGCTGGCAAAATTGCACCAGCCATCATTTTCATGGACGAGGTAGACGGCATGCTAGGGACACGCGAACGTTCAAATGAAAATGAGGTATCAAGGAGGATCAAGAATGAATTCATGATGCATTGGGATGGAGTCTTATCCAAACCAAGTGAAAACATTCTTGTCCTCGCCGCGACAAACCGACCTTTTGACCTTGATGATGCAATCATCAGGCGATTCGAGCACAGGTGTGTTTAAAACTTTGTTGTTTCTAAAATTTATGATCTTGATCAAATTACATCATCTCTAGACTATTCACTGATGTATCATGTGGCTTCAAATAGGATAATGGTTGGTCTCCCTACTCTTGAGAGTAGAGAGCTAATTTTGCATAAGTTGCTGTCCAAAGAAAACATTGAAGGTATAGACTTCAAGGAACTTGGCAAAATGACTGAGGGATACAACGGTAGTGATCTAAAGGTTCGCATGCTAATCTTAATGTTCATTATTCGAAGGTCATTCTTTGTTTTACTAAATCTCTATTTCCCTAGAATCTTTGTGTGGTGGCCGCTTATCGTCCTGTTCGAGAGCTACTTCAGAAAGAAAAACAAATGAAGAAGGTAAGACAAAGGACAAACAAAGCTCCTTGTTAAATTTTAATGAATTGTACCAAGGATCATTATTTTTCATAGTTAAGAGGCACACACTTTGTTGATTAAAACATGTAGAAGTATAACATGTCACCGAAAAAGGGTAATAGATATTAATATAGATATTGTCAACATTTGATGCCAGAGTCACATCATGTTACATGATATGATTATGTTTATTTCTTAGGACAAGAAGGAAAAGGAAGTGAAAGGGAAGAATGTGCGTGTTGAGAACCCACAAAATGAAGAAAGCAAGAAGGAAAAGTCAAAAGACAGCAAAGACATGGAAGCCATTTTAGAGGAGGGCGACGAGGATGAAATGGATGAGGTAATCACCCTTAGGCCATTAACCATGGAGGACCTGAAGCAGGCCAAAGATGAAGTAAGTGTTGCAAACCAATTTGCATGTTTTATAGCCTACAACTTATGATTTTATATTATTATTTGGTAGACCTTATTACCAAGGGGACAAACTGATAAACTATTGTGAATCTAACACTATGCAGGTCTCTGCAAGCTTTACTAGTGATGGTGTAGTCATGAATGAGATCAAGCAATGGAATGAGCTATATGGCAAAACTGGGTCAAGGAATAGGCAAAAGCTAACATACTTCCTATAGTAAATGGTTCTTAGTTATGTTGTCACCCTTGTTATGCCTTTGATTTGTATGGAAATAACACAATGTTTGCTGTTGCCATTCAAGTTGGCCTATGTATCCATTTAAGATTGGTTTTTCTACAAGAGAAGATATTATGTGTAACTGCTTTATTGCTGACTAAAATCCAAATGTTGTGCATCCTAGTGTTCCAATCAAAAAGGTTCATTTTCACTTTGTTGTTGGAACTATATTGATTCTAGGCACTTAAGTTAGCCTAAAGTTGTGCAAGTCGATGGATCTTCTACTAGGAAGTGCTCAAGCTTCAACATATCAGCATATAGCTGAATTCTTACAGCTCATTAGGCCACTTCCTTGGAAACACCAATAAGCTTTATGCCTAGACCCACACCTCATGAGGATAGTTGTCGTCAATGCAATAGTTCTGGTTGATGATGATGATGATGGAACTACTGCACATTGTGCAGGATGGCGTTATCGAAGGCAATGATGCATGAGCGTAAGACTGCCTTCGTTACCATCACATTCTATTCTATAGAACCTTTCCCTTGTCTCCATGGCTCTCCAAGCCATGATGTGACATAAACAATCATCACACACATAAGCGCAACTCTAAATAGAGTTGTCAAACTACAAAAGAAGATCGAAAAAGGCCTCTTACGCCATGGTCTAAGTTGTAAGAGATGTGTTTGACCAACATATTAGATTGATTGAAATGAACCATGATTTTCCTCAAAGGAAAATCCATAGTATTACAACAAAGTGATAGTCTAAGGAGTAGCACTGCCATATGTATTACCACCACAACTGGCTCCACAACATACATAGTGTTCAAATACCTCTATTAAGGGTACAAATAGGGGTCTTTACCATTATTACAAGTCCATGTGGACTATCAAAAAGAGAATTAATAAAAGCAAAGCGAAGCGAGTGCTATGAAGCTGGTGTCATCAGCCACAACCATAGGATGTAGACTATCTTGTGTCCCAACCATCGTGGTCTAAGTCGTACTCACGCTCATCTCTTTAAACCAAGATATTTTAGTACGATTTTGTACTGACCAATGGCCAACCCAATGATGCTATTGCTTTGGGGGTAAGCAGTATGCAAGGGCTCTTTCATAGTATTTGGCTCAGGGTAACCCTAGAAATGAGTAAAACATAAGTTTGCATGTGTCCATCCCATGCCCAACTCCTTCACATATACCAAAACCACACACACCTCCAGGTCCACTCCTCAACCAAAACCACACTCTCTAGACGATGAGGAAGGCTCTCTACCTTTCTCATCTCAATGTCCTCAAGCATGTTACACCACCAAAATTACCATTTTGGAATGTGAATACAAAACACTACATAAAATAAATTATTTAGTCATTTTCTAAAAGTTACCAAGATTGATTTAAGTTATTGCTAATTTAGAGAGCAGAAAAAACAACTTTATAACATTTTTAAAATTTAATCTACTTCTTTGGCTACATTCAAGCCTTGGCATTTATTATTATGTGGAAAACCAACTTGAAATTTTTGATTAAGCCTCGACTAGGTTGTGTTCTATTTCAAAAAATAAAGCCTATTTTTTTCAAAACCTAGTTCTACAATAGAGTTCCAGTTTTAGCTTGGAAAGCCTCTAAAACTAAATTTAAATAAGTTTCAAGTACGTAATTTGGAGAGAGATTAAATTCTAAAAATAATTTTCAGATGTATTAAAAATAAGATTAAATCATGTTTAAAAACTTAGTTTAAAAAAGGTTATATTGTGGCTTCAAATTAGATTGTAGAATAATTATTTAAAAACATAGTTTAAAATGATTTCAAAAAAGCTTCGAACTAGTTCTTAAATGATTTTTCAAAGTATACTTTAAATGGTTTGCAAAACAATGCTTCAAAAGATTTTTGAAACGTGTTTGAAAAAGTTTAAAAATAAATTGTTTAAACCTAGTAAAACATAGTTTTATTTGTTTTCAAATTTCAAAGTAAAGCACTTTTGGGCACATCGGCTTGTACCAAGGATCCTATCAGCCATGTTTGGTCGGCTGAAGATTAATTAAGGCGGACAAGCGAGGTGTTCAAGGAGGAGAAAAAACACTTTGTCACACCCTAATTTTCAGTTTGTTTTCAATTTAAGTAAGTTTGCCTTTGATTTATTTAGAAATCACATTTAGTTGAGAGGAAAAATAATTTTCTAATGCAATGATAAATGAATAGGTAAACAACATATTTGTTTCATTCACGTCGTTTCCCTTGGGAAACTGTTTCCTGGATTTTCTGAAGTTTTCAGTAAAAGGAAAAAAAGACTTATTTTTATTTTCCTATATGCAAACTTCGGTTTTGGCCTGCATCTGCTTGCTAATCGGGCCTAGCCCAGCCCCTGGCCATCCACTTCCGCGCCTCCCTTGTCCTTCAGTTATTGGGCCAAGGCCTAATATTACCGAGGGACAAGGGTCCGCACGACTAGGCCCATTTCATCACCCAAGGGGCCCTGCTGCAGATTTTCCGCTTTCCCCGCACCAAGCTGATTCCCCGCCTGGAGACAGTCCCGCCCCGCCCGCCTTCCAGTTGCTGAAGTATCTTCCTTGGTTTGACGTCTTTGACGTTGCCTGCATCATGCACATATAGCATAGCATATTGCACAAACCTGGTTTCTACTTTCTAGTATCAGCAGATTAACGTGCAACAGCTGCGTGTGAGTGTGACCAAGTTCTCTGTATACCACAGACAAACCAACCGAAAACCTCTGTACACCCAGCCAAAATCCCCATACATGTCTGTACTCAGTAGAAACTTCAAAACACCTTGTATGTATATCTTGGTCCATATATATCCTTAAGCAAGCACCAAATCTCCATGAATATTATCATCGATACATGAATCTGACTGAACATATGTATGTACACCGAGCAAACGATTCCTCTTTCTTCCTCCACAGTTTCCTCTTCTTTCTTTATTTACGGTGTGTTTAGTTACCCAAAATCCAAACTTTAACACTATATAAAAAGAAGATTTCCCGTCACATCAAACTTGCGGTACATGCATGGAGTACTAAATGTCGACGAAATCAAAAACTAATTGCACAGTTTGGTTGTACTTTGCGAGACGAACATTTTGAGCCTAATTAATCAACGATTGGACAATTATTATCAAATACAAACGAAATGCTACAGTGCACTACGGTACCGCGCAGTGATTTTGCCGGTGCCAATTCCGGGCAACTAAACGAGGCCTTAACGCCACTCTCTCCTACTGTCCAGGCGTCGCCTTCCTTTGCTCTTCATTATCTAGTTCTCCTACTTCTCCGTTAGTGTACATATGTTTTGGATTTATCCCTGTTTTTGCTTCCTTTTCCTGCGCCACACGCATATGAGTTCCGGGGGAGGGAACTGGGTGTGATGTGGGTTGTTGCTGGAGTTGAAGAAAATAATTGCAATTAGAGCAATTTTTTTTCATGGACATATTTCTTACTTTCTATAGGTTTACACAAGTGCTCCTTCCATTCTAAATTATAAAATAGGTTTACTATTTGTATGCTGCCTGATATCTTCTAGCCTAGAATGAAAATCCCAAATGTAGGTACTCCTCCATCCCAAATTGTAAGTCGTTCAAAGAATCTTTGGAAGTCAAACTTTTCAAGTTTGACTAAAATTATAGAGAGAAACACAAAGATTGATGACATCAAATATGTATAATATGAAAATATAACTAATGAAGAATCTAATGATACTTACTTGGTATGATAAATATTATTATTTTGTTATATAAATTTGGTCAAACTTGAAAAACTTTGACTCTCCAAGATTCTTGGAATGACTTACAATTTGGGATGGAGGGAGTAACATTTACGAAAACACAATAGCTATAGCTCTGTTAAGCACGATGGCTGACCAAAACAACGAAATCTGAGGAACCGAATTACTGGGAAAAAAAAAAACTGCTTACCTGCTACGCTGTTGCCGGTTTGCCGTTTGCCTCTGCAGAGTGCAGCTCTGCGCCAGGTGCCGGCGGCGTGCCTGCTGCAGCTCTTGCGCCCTGCGGCTGCCGTCTGCCCGCAGCTTGCTGGAGCCGGCCTGCGCGCGGGTGCCGACTGCTGCTCCCGCCTCCCGCCTCCCGCCTCCCGCCTATCGTTGCTTAAAACAGCAAACCTCGCACACAGGGTAAACGACACCACGAACACGGGCCAGAGCAATGGCTGTGTGGCGCAGGTGGGATGCGGCGGCGTCGGTGAGGCGCGCGCGGAGGGAGGCGGCCTTGTCCCCGGCGGCGGCGGCGCTCGGCCTCCATCCAGGAGGCACGGTGGCAGATCCAGGCCGCCCTACCTCCTGGCCGCCGCACCATCTCCTCGCACGCTACTTCTCCTCCTCCGATGGCGTCAACGTCGGTGGCGGGGGCATACGACCAAGCCGACGGACGTCCACCGGCGATCGGCTGGAAGCGCGACGAGGCGGCGATGGAGATGATGACGGCGTTGATGACGCGGCCGCGCGCCGGCGGGGCGCACGCGACGGCGGCGGCGGCGGCAGCGTTAGCCGCGTCGGTTCTCGCCATCCCCCGCCCTGGGTGCGACCGCGACCATGCATCAGCGGCCGGCGCGAGAGGCGGAGCGGGAGTGCTCGCCCGCAGTGGCCTGCGCGCTCGCGAAGCAGGCGGCGCTCGCCCGCGGCGACCTGCTGCGCCAGAGGTCATAGCTGAGCTCGGACACGGGAGGCCCAGGGCCACGCACACATTCGGGACACGCGCGAGCGAGATGAACATGCTGCAGGAGTCGCACGCGTTCGGGACACAAGCAACATTCGCTGGCATCTCAACAATCTGTAATTTGCATGATGCAGCACTACTCTATAACAATTCGCTGTCATCTTATCAGTACTGCATTCACTGAACGTTTGAACGAGCACTCTGCACCGGAGGAAGAAGGGACGAGGACGAACGAGAACATGGGCACGCACGGACCTTGATGAAGCCGACGCCGGAGCCCATCAACCTGACCTCGATCTCGGTGTTCGCGTG